CGACGCCAACGCCAACGCAACGCCAAAGTTCTATGTGGACGGGCCTTTAACAATTCAGAATTTTTGTGAGAAAAAATTCAAAATATTTGACATTTTTGAGACCAAATAATTTGAAAATAAATAAAATCAGCTGCTCTACTGATACTACCTGTTCAATGTACCTTGCTTTCAACAAAAGAAATTGCCAAAAATTAACGGTAAGTCTTAGCTACTTCAAACAAGCACTTTAATAATAATAGATTGGCGCTTACACAATATGTTAGCGTTTGGCCGAGCTTCTCCCCTGATTTGTGAAGTGCGCCTTGATGTTGTCACACAAAGGGGAGGAACCTATAGTCTTTCGCCGACTCCGAACGGCGATTGTATTTTTATGCGAAGCTGTTTCGCATGGCAGAAATACACTCCGAGGTTTGTCATTGCCGGCCGAGGGGCAACCGCTATTAGAACAACTTTTGGTTTATTTATTGTTTTTGATGTTAGTCGGAAACTTGGCTTGATCCCAGGGCCTGCGGAATGGTAGCGAAAAACCAAAGTTCGAGAAAAAACGCTTTAAACATTTGGATTGTAATGTTAATCTTAAGGGGAAACCAAAATATGTTCGTCTATAACTTTTTAAATAGCCTAGCTGGCGAGATCGGAATTTCACATACACATGGAATAGTAGTTGCGGAATACGATAGCATATATAACTCAATTCTTTCCGAAGTCAGCTTAGGCGGTTATTCGTGCCTATAGCATACAAATATATGCGTATGAAGAATAAGTCAGGGATCGAAAATAACGATTTATTTTCGAAATTTCAATTCAAGAAGTCAGACCGTAGGAATTATTCGAATTCGATATGATATTTGAATATACCAGTAAGATGCTTGCTAGCTAAGGAATATTAATTTTAAATGATTATTTTTTTTTCAAAAAGTCAGCAATTATATTTTACCGGTATTTTTTCAAATTTAATACCCATTTCATTTATTTCTAAATGTTTAACTATAATTGCTATTCATATTATTTTCATTTCAGTGGCGTCGCCCATCGGCAACCCAACTGCGGTTGCGCTGCCATCCATAATCGACCCACAAATGTACTTTTTATTTATGTACATACATATATACCCAGCACTTTACTTTTCTTGCTCCAGCTCAGTTTTTAAAGAGCTCTCTGCAACAATTTTTGCAACTTTTCGCGGTTCTTTGACTAATGTATTGGGGCATTGCATCTCGGTCCAACTAACAGGCACCATTGGTGGACCATTTGTACCACTCTCGCTAGAAGTCGCAACCACTACACCTAATTCGTTCTCTGCAGTACTAAGTTGGTAGCATGTCAGCTCAGTTTGAGGAAGCTATACATAATTTGTAGATATAATATTAAAAAATAATATCAAAAATATATGTAGATAATAAAAAACAATAACTTTCAGTTCAAGCAATTACCACTCGTGCTAGTATTACATCTCCAGGGCGGAATGATTTGTACATTTCCACACGATCCTTTTCTGTAGCACGGACATCTTCTTTCCTCACAATCCCTCGATATGTTCGTTCAAGTATATGGTCGCCAATACAGATTATAGAACACTTTGCGAAGCGTTGGTTCACTTGTAGAACACGCGCCGTTACCACATCTCCCGCCACAGGTACAATAGTCTGGCTACCAGCGCACTTAACTTCAATGTATTTACACTTCATATAAAGAATTCCCAATGTACTAAATTTATTACAAAGCTAGTTTGAACAATTGTTACCTTATCCTTTTCCCTAACTTGCACGCTACCAGCTAATGTAGCATAAATGTAACCGCCACGCTCATATGTCCCTTGTCCCGCTACTGTGGTTTCTTCCGACAGACATATCCGTTGCCCAGGTAGGCAAAGGATTTCTTCAGCGCTTACCAAACTACATGTGTTGGAAACATTTGCTAGAACTTCCATTACCACCAATCAAATATAAAAGCCGCC